TAAACATGGCGGAAATCCCGTCCTCTACTAAAAATCAAAAGTAACTGGGCTGGTGGCAAAGTGCCCTGTAATCCAGCTACTGAAAGCATGAGAATCACTTGAATCACATGCCTGGAGGCCAGGATTTGCAGTGACCCCGATGCAACCATTGCAATCCAGCGTGGACACAAGAGTGAAACCCCGTCCTCCAGAAAAATAAATCAATGTCTTACAAGCCAAAAAACATGAGTAATTTAGAAGAGTCCAGAAAAAAAACTGCAAATAACAAAAAGCTTATTCCTAATTAACTGGATCATTGAAGAATCATTGTCAGTAAATTCTTTTAAACCATCCTATAGTAAATTTGTAAATAAAGAGAATGAAAATGTAAAATCAGCCCAGTTTTAAAAATCGTCATGATTCATCTGCTATTCATGGCTTGGGCTCTGAGCTGGGGTCCTGATGCCCTGCCTGCTATTGTCCGGCAAGGTCATACCTTGTTTATGTCCATCTGTGCTCTCACAGATGCCAGAGGTGCACATCTCTACACGGGAGCTGACCAGCATGGCAAACAAAGCACCTGATCCCAAAATGTTCTCACACAGAAATCGTTGCGCCCGCCCTCCAAATGCCAGCACCAGTAAAGATAAGAGGGTCAATCAGGGCCCAACAGAAAAACTGAAAGAATTTTCCGACGATTCCCATACAGAATCCACCCTCCTCTCCCTTTCTTTTTCCCCTAGATATTATTCAACTCTTACCTTCCAGGCAACCCAAACTCGCCCTTAGTGAAATGCCCTTCTTCAACGCCATCAACAGATGCGAGAATGAAAAGACACTCTTGTCTCTCGCCAGCTATTTCCACACTTTTTCAAACTGGGAGCTGTTTTACAAACTGGGAGCTGCTTTAACTGCTGTCCAGCATGCAAGAAGTTAGGAAGGCCATTGGCCCATTAAGAAGACTGGTTTCTAAATATGACAATGAGTGATTTTATCAGGTTATATGGGAAGTAATCAGTGAAACTCCAGCCTGGGTCCTGGCAAAGGACATGGTGGCCCATGTCATACCACCTTTTTCAATTCAAGCAGGACTCGGTCATGTGACTAAGTACTGCATTTTGCCATTCTATATGCCTCCCTTTGGAGAACTGTGACTTCCAGAATAACCGTAGCCTGGCAACCTCTGGCCACCTGCTGGCCTCAGGTCCGTCCCTAAAAATCTCTGACGATTGTGGGCCTGGGTCTAGATTGGTGAACCAAGGAATCCTCTTGCGGTGAAGAGCCACTATTCACTCATTTTCTCCTTAAGAAATTTCAAATTAAAAGGCCAGCCTGCTAGTTACCTGTGTCCTTGGCTGAATGGAAAGCCTGTTGAGAATAGCGTGTTCCAAGTGTGGAACGTGAGTAACCGGCCGTAACATTTCAGACCAATCCTCCCCCCTTCCTTTCCAAGCTATGACCACATGACCATCCCCTAATCCGTCTCTCTCATTTCCTAGTCGAATTATTGATTTGAAAATTGCTTATATTTTAATAATGTTGGTTGTGAATCAATGTGTACCATGCCACCTGTCTTGGAATCATCTGATCTGTCCTCTGTCCCTTTCTGTATTCTGTTTCTACACCGCAATAAAGCCTGTGGTAGTGTCTTCTAAGGAGTTTCAGAGAGAATCAGCATAATGTGAAGCTTTAACAATGTTACTTTGTTGCTCTCTCTTTCTTTTTCCTCTTCCTTCCTGTCCTCCTTTTCCTCTTTTCATTTTTTCATTCCATCAGGTGGCAGTCCGTCTACAATTTTGTAATGTATTTGATATACACAAATATTAAAATGCCTTATTAATCATAATTATTGATCACTACTTTGGTGTCTGATGTTCATCTAGCCACTGGAGTTTTGATCAATGGAACAAGACGAATGAATTCCCCTGATCCCAATGTTGTTTCTCCTCAGGTGGGAGAGGGGACCAAGAAAAATAATTCAATGCCTATTAAGATAACAGAGCAAAGCCACTGGATGAGGGGAAAAAGTGGTGCAAATAAACCAGGGTGATCAGGTTGAGACCCCCTTAATATCTCAAAACATGTACCGTGTAAGAGTCCCCATTTATGCTGCGAGATTCATAATATAGTTGGATTGAAAAAAGAAGCCCCATATGTTCAATAATCAGTAGACCTACTGATTCCTCCCTAGTCTAACTATTTGTAATTTCCCCAAGGTAGATAGAACTTTCTTCATTTCTTGAATTCTAACAAAATTGGAGAAAATGTTTCTTCTAGAAGAACCATGAATTTACTAAATGGTTTATGTTGTTAGAAAATATCATCTTGACATCTTACAGTGCTTTTTAGGAAAATTTGTAAGAACAAAAACTTATTACAGAGATTCTTGCCTGTGCTAAGTAATCCAGTCTCCCTTGAAGCAGCAATGAATCAACATTCTGTTCCTACTAACTAATCATTAAAACTCATTGATTGATCCTACTCAGATTTCCTCTTATTTTCCATAATTTTCAGTTAAATAGCCTTCTCCAAAATTCCAGTTCTAAACGAAAACCGCCAAATTAGAAATGAGGGAGAGACCTGGTTCTAAACAAATCAGTAGATCTAAAAGGAGGTAAACAACTTGCAACCTACAGAAACGTAAAAAGAGAAAATTAATCATCAAACAGACACAGCAATTTTAAGAAGCAAAGCAATCTGAATCCATTTGAGTTTATAATAGGCCATCTGACGATTGCATACAGAAATCCAGTCCTCTCTTCTTTCCTTTTTCCCCTAGATTATTCACGCTTACTCTTCAGCAGCCCAAACTGCCCTTGTGAGCCTTCTTCACGCCATCACAGATGCGGAGATGAAAGGACACTCTCTGTTCTCTCGCCAGCTATTTCCCACTTTTTCAAACTGGGAGCTGTTTTACAAACTGGGAGCTGTTTTACTTGCTGTTCCAGCATCAGAGTTAGGAAGGCATTGCATTAGAAGACTGGGTTTCTAATAATGACAATGAGTGATTTATCAGGTTATCATGGAGTAATCAGTGAAACTCCAAGCCTGGGTCCTGGGTCAAGGAG